CACTAAATGGCATGACAAGCGAGATATTTCTTTCTTATCGACAAATTTTTCCCACAGTGAACCCTCCTGACCAGTGCAGCAAAAGAAAAAAGACAATGTTATTGAAATTCAAAAGCCGCGAGTTGCCAATGTTTACACCGTTTTTAAGGGAGGAGTTGATTGCGCAGATCAGCTTCGCTCATTTTACTATGCAGGCTGGCAATCATGAAAGTGGTACAGATATATTTTCTGATTTGTATTTAATTTGTCTATTTGCAATGCCTAGGTCTTGTTTAACGTTCATTGTGGAGGACGGCGTGAGAAACCATTGACAGATTTCAGGCTGGCGCTTGCCAAACAACTCATCGATGGCTTTTCTCAAAGGAAGAGAAAGAGACGCTCCCTTGATGCTGTAGACCAAACTGCCGTAGATCCAGGACAGCATATTTCTGTCCACGTAGAAGGAAGAAAGAGGAAGTGTATACAGTGTATCAAGGCTGGCAGGAAAACCCTGAAAGGATTTAAAGTGGAGATGCATTTCGAGTGCAAACTCTGCAAAGTTGCGCTCTGTCCCACATGCCACAATGAGTCCCACATGCCACAATGAGTCCCACATGCCACAATGAGTTCCACATGCAGTCCAAATAAACTCTTTTGAACTTACCTGTTCAAGTTCCAACATCTTAGATTGACTATTAACCTGTTTTATAAAATATTTGTAGGGAATATACCATGTTTTTTGTTGCCTTGCAAGTTAGTTGTTCAACAAACCAATTGTATTGCCCGCATTAATGGCGGAAATTGGAATTTTTTTTCATTTCTCGACTTTCTGGAGTCAATGCTCAATGTTGTTACCAGATTAGTTGCAATCAAACTTATGAATGAATGAAATAACAATCAGACTGTAATTTTTTTTCCATTATTGCTCATAACATTACATTAAAATCTACTGAGCATGCATGTTTTGATTTTGTGTTGAAGCCTTGGTGGTGCCTAATTAAATATTCAGGAACAATGGGGTCTGGGCCTAATTAGCATATAGTAGTGAAAGGGTTAAAGCAAATTTATAAATTATAAATCATAGTTCATGATGAAACTACTAGCATAGAAGGGCAAATGTAAATCACTTTGTTATCATGCTAACTAGATACAGGTCTCTATCACAACAAGGTCATCTTTAGCCTCACTCTGAATCAAAGGCTTGGCAACTAAGTATGCAACTGTAAAATGGCCTATTGTCAAGTGCTAATAAAAGTAAGAGTACAATGGTCAGATAGGCTTGCATTTATTGCACGTGCAGCCAATTATTGTCCAATCAGAGCTGTTCTTTCTCTGGATAAAAAATTTAATTCTCCTTTTAACTTAATTAAATTTTTATTTATTTATCTACTTATTTACTCACTTTTCTATTTTTTTGTTTTATAATATTAATTGTGTATAAATACCTTGGTTAGTGTAAATATAGAATTAAACTAAAGTAAGTCTTGTGTAAATGTTAAGAAACACCAGTTAATTATACGTGACAGTGGCCAACTCGAAAGCTATACTACTTTGGTCACTGTGCACACTTTACTTTTAATTATTGATGTAATTTACTCTTTCCTATATATTCTGACTTTTATAATCCGTAGTAACCTCTTGAAATAGTGCGAATAACGAGTTTCAGTTAGGGGAGATGGCAAAAGACCTTGGGGGACCAAAAAAGGAGTGGATCAGACCTATGAACTGCAAGACAAAGAAGAAATGTTTCGATAATGGTCTTCATACCTATCTTTCAGAAGATTATTACTTCGTTGGTATTATGGTGGGAATTGCTTTATTGGGGAATGGTGCACTTCCAGCATTTATGCCAATTGAAGTGCTTGATCAACTGCTGGTATTCCCAAATACAGGTTCTTGCATTGCCAATATACAGAGAGGCTTAGAAGTCTTTGGCCTGTGTACAGTTATCAGGTCAATTATGCTTCATCTCCTTAGACCAACCACTGGCAAGCTATCATCACAGATGCTGATACACCTACTAAAACCCAACTTTTCTTAAGAGGGCTCCTTAGCTTATCAGAAAGAGAAAGAAGTCTAGTGCATGTTTGTTTAATACATTAGGCAAGTTGCCAATGAACAGAGGGAACCAATTTCCCTGAGCTCTATCCTCACCTTCACCACAGTAGCTTCTGAGGAGCCCATTCTTGGCTTCGCTTACCATCCCTACATCAACTTCTGTACACCAGAGGTAGAATATATTTATGTAATACCTAATACCGTGGAATCTGTTTTTTTTTTTTCTTTTTTTTTTTACTAAGTATGATACTCTAACAACAAACACCTGTTTAACAATACAGCTTCTATCTCCTGAGGAGGAAGAAACAGGACACAAACATTGTGGCTTAGCATACTGTGGATTAGTGAATGAGTCAAAATACCTTAATGATATCTTTCCACTTTTTATTATGCAAACTTATCTTATTTCTATTTGTGGCGATTTTTTTTTCTATCTTTTCATAGGTTTTTAATGTATTTTTAAGTGTTAAGTGTCAAAGGCTTATGGTTTTCTCTTTTCTTCTAGAGAGTATTCTTCGTTTTCAATCACGTGGTAAAAATCTGTGACGTCACCGATCAGCGCCATCTTGGTTCATATACAAAGCGTTAAAAATGGCTTCGAACAGTGACTCTGGAGTCCATTCTCTAATGCTTTCAGCGTGTTGCGAGACGTTAGATGAAGTTACGAAGAAGCGATACGTAGAGAAAGTTAGGATGATTGGTTTCGACCCGTTTAAGTTAAAAAAAACGGAATTCAAAGACGAATTAAAGCTTTGGCCATCGCTCGAATACCCAGATATTGTGAACTATCTCTTGGTGCAAACTTGGTGGAGAACAAAAGAGGAGATGAAGGCGTACAAATCGTTGGAATCATACAACTTTTTTGTGTCAGGCTGGGTTCATTCTATCCTGGCCATAGAAGTGCAGCCAGACAAGTATTGATCTTCTCTTGGGTAAGTGAATGCCATACATTTACATGCACATTTCACTGAACGGAAGTGTAAATATCGCACTCTTTAAATGCAGGTCAAACACTCGCAACGTGCGAGAGAAACTCCTTTATCAGTTTGGATTCTTTCTGAGACTAACGGGAGCGTAATCGCAGCTCACTGCAGTTGTATGGCGGGGTAAGTACGAATACTTGACACAAATATAAACCAGCTTACTAGAAATTTTGTCAGATAGAATCTCAAGTTCGAGCCACATGTTTAGGTGTTTTCTATTAGTACTGTTCGACTGATTTTTCTTTTCCTAACCGTGTAGTTTGGCTGAAGCATGCTCTCACGTCGGTGCGACACTTTTCGCTTTGGAAACTGGAGTAAGGATGCGATCATCGACAACTTGTACTCAAGAAAAAA